GGCCGGTCGCGCTGCCACTGCCCCTCCCCGCCCCCGCGTGTGTGCTTGCCAGAGCTCCACCACCTCCGCTCCAGGGTCCTTCCCTGCACACGGTGAGAGCCGTGCAGCCTGCTCCGCTGGCACGTTCATGCTTTTAACCCATCAGAAATTGTCATGAGGTTCACTTCTGTCACCTTCATTCAGCATCCACATCGGGAAAGCTGTTCTCTGAAGAGTGCTGGCTCATTTCTGGCCATTTCTCAGCGATCATTTTAACAGCATTTCATGGTCTTCCTACCTTGCACTTAGGTTTTGTGATCTGAATTTTTGAAAATGGATCTCGGAGTAAGTAAGGAGACAAGGGGGCTACTGATTATGAGTTTTTTAGGTCCTTCCTTCATGAATCAGACATTTATTGAGCACCTACTACTTACTCTATTAATGACTGAGCCCATTACGTTTTAAATAGAAATGTCCTTTCAAAATCTTATGCTTTGGTGATTTAAAACAAAGATCGCTTCGTGTACCAAATTAATCACCTTCAGCAGAGTCGGTGTGATATCAATAAATAAAATGCCAGTGGCTAAGCTAGACTGAAACCTCCACGCCCTGTAGTGCCAAGGCAGCCGATCAGACCTGCCACGCGTCAGACGCTGTGCTAGGTAGGCACGGGAGACAGAGGTGGCTGCTGGGGGCGGTCGCCGCCTGCAGGCCTCAGGGCCCGTCGCGTGTCGTTGTGGTGGTGGTTCCTCCTTTTTCATCACTAGCTTTTAAACTGAAACCCTACACGCACACACGCACACGCACACACGCACACACACACACACGCGCGCTAATGCATTCAGAATCTGGAGACAGACATGAGGAGGGTCTAAAGTTAGTCTCCACATCATGAATAAAATCTCTAAGAAGGAAAAAAGGAAGAATGCTGGGTTAAGCTCCTTGGTGTTGGTGACTCCTCCTCTCTTGATTTTTTTTAAAAGTGCCAGAATATATTTTCCCTAACTTAAAATAGTACAGGCAAAAAAGGTGGGTTTTGTACATGTTCTTGAGTGTTCATTTTGACTAAATGAAAAGCTTCACTCTCCTGATGAGGAAGTTTGTCATTCAACAGGCATGGCTGCACTGTTACCTAAAAGGAAAGATTTACTAAACATTTTAATAATATAACCAAAGTGGCAGAGAAAGGCTTAGAGCAAACGCAGCACCTGGGACCCCGAGAAAGCTCTTCATGACCTTTTACAGGTTGCTACCTTCAAAATCTCGCGAAATTAATAATCTTTTTCTGTGAAAATGTCTGCACACCCAATCATGCATGTAGGTTTAGGATACTGGGAACCCAGATTAAGTAACATGTGTGTTATACACAGCTTTTGCCTATAAATGTCTGGCATTCCACATATAGGTGTTTCTTGTCTCGGCCTTCTTGCAGATGCATAGGTAATATAGGTGGGACACTCTGTTAAAGCAGTCCTCGGCAGTGTATACTCTAGAACTTCTTAGCAAGTGAGATTGACTGTCAGGCTGTTTTTAAGATTCAAGTTCTGTTTTCAAAATGTTACCTTGACAATATGGGCCCTGAAAAGTTCAGGGAAAATATCTGGAGACAGACGTGCTTGAAGAAAGCCCTCCGAGTTCTCAGCTCTTGGGTGGCCCCGTCCCTGTTGGTCCCTGCTCTTCCCACTTCTGCTCATCCAAGCCAGAACAGCCAGTGCTGCTTCCTGGCAGTGGGTTTGGGAAGGCTAGTTCCTACTTTCGTGAGATGCCAGGGAGGTGTCCTGCAGCCTCGTAAGTACACCCACACATGCGAGAGAAGACGAGGCCACGGTGCCGAGGGAGGCCCGCTCGGACAGCTTGGAACCCCGCAGGACCTGGAGAACGCTGCTCGGTGTCTCAGAGCCTGTGTCTGCAGACAAGTGACACGACCATGCAGGAACGGCAGCACGAAGAAGGAGCGGAGGCTATAAGTATGCTTAGTCTGCCTGGCCACCGCGTGAATTAACCGTGAGCGGCGTCTGCCCCGTGCGGTCTCACATGCGCGTGTGACTGCGCACTCGTGGGGGCCACGCTCCTCGAGCCTCGGGCTGGCCGGGAAGAAGGGCCCGCCGCACCCCCCGCAGCTTGCAGCAGCCTCCACTAACCTCCAGCAGCCGCTCTCGGGCAAGCCCTCCTCCTGCCTGCCTTTGGCCTCTCTGGCTTACACTCCGTGACGTCTGCTCCGTGGCATTGAGGGAAGCGTGGCGGCGGCGTGACCTGCCCCTTCTCCCGAGTGACTTCCTCCCTTTCCTTTGTCAACAGAAGAGTGGTTCATTATTGCCAGCTTTGGCCTCCTCAGTGCCCTCACACTCTGCTACATGATCATCAGAGCCACAGCTGGCTTGAATGCTAACGAGTAAGTAGCCACTTGTTTCTGGATTGCATGTGCCAGGTGATCCCAGGGAGACGTGTGGAGACGCTCTCATGACGGTGGTGAGAGCTGGCTTTCCACCAGTTTCCTGTTGCTCCCCACGAGCTCGTGTCTAGCAGAGTGACTCATGCCACGAACGCGGGTGTCAGTAACACACGCTGGGAGTGCACCTCCTTCCGCAAGAACGGCTCGTTTGAGAAACGACCTAGAGGCTTTCATTAGCCTCGAGCTCAGGCGGAATCCATGGCGTAGCACGTGTGCCAAGCGAGCCAGGGTAGTCTTAGCATGTCAGGATGCCCGTGTCCTCATCGTTGGCAGGAAACGCCCCACACTGCGTGTGCGAATCAGACTCTCTGCAGGCTGACCTGCTTAGCTTCTGGTGGAAACCCGGCACCCTTGCCTGTGGCCGAGGAACAGTGCCACAGGTGCTTAGCCTGCAGGAGAGGCGCGCTCACAGAGACCCGCTTTCAAATATTAGGAGGACTGTCGGGGGAAGAGAAAATAAGGCTCAGTTTTGTCTCCAAGGGCAAAGCAAGGATCAAAGGGGAGGCCACAGGATGGCAGGCTCCACCACAGGAAAAGGAAGACGCCTGTCCACGAGGCTGCCTGACGGGGTGTGTGCTGTGGGCTAGTGCGTGCTGCGAGGCCTGCGGCGCTGCACATGGCTTGCCAGGGGCTGCCTGGTGAGGCCGGTTCAGGCTGCGCTAGGTGGCTGTTGAGGTCCATTCTGACCCAGCGAGTTTGCAAGAATAGCTCTCCACAGGGATGCGGTACAGAAAAGCTGTTAAGCTTTTAGTTGGTTTGTTTTAAATTTGGGGGTTGACTACAGGATAGAACTTGGTCCTTCCTTCTACCGGTGTCCATACAAACTAGTTAGAGACAGGAGTGGCCCTGGGCACGACTCACGTTGGGACCAGAGTTGGCACGGGGATAGTCACGCACCCTCTGGATTCAGTTATGCCCTGACACTTCAGCCAGTGAACAACAGCCAGACTGCCTCATGCTGTTGATCGAGTTGGCTGGCCACCCGTTGTCCAGCTATGGACACAGTGGGCACGTGGCCTCCACTTCCGGTGACACAGGGTTCTCACGTCCAGCCTGATCTATTGGCCAGACCCTCGCAAGTGCCCTCTGGCGCCTGTGAGCCCTCGCCCCAGAAGGGTGTCGGGTTGGGTGGGTTCTCCAGCCTCAGGTAGGAGTCTGCGACATCCAGCAGGTGCGCCACCCACCACGTCTGCTCCCCATGCATTTCCCTCCACCATGGCGCAGGCAGGGACTCAGACTCAAATCAGACACACCTGGACCTGACTCCAGTGTCTATTTTTCAGCTGTGGGACCTGGGCCAGTCTGTTTCTCTGAAGCTCGTTTTGGTCATCCGTGACAGACGGTGGCCAGGCAGCATGGCAGGGTTGGCACGAGACTCAGCGCGAGGAAGCTTAGTAACAGGCCTGGTATGTAATACGTGCTCAATAAATGCTAGTGAGACCAGTGCTGCCGCGATGCCATCAGCTCTGCAGACAGGACAGCTGTCTCCTTTCTGGTTTGGAAGTGAGTTTAATTTCTTCAGGAGATACGGAACCCTGGTAGCTCTGTGCATGGCCGTGAGTCCAGCCTCATTTCAGAGGGAAGTCATTGCACCCGCAGCCCCTCTTTGACTTACTCCCACATCTGAGCTAGACGGAATCCACGGCATAGCACACGTGCCACATATTATCTGTTGGACTCGACAATACTGGAAGGCCACATCTTAGAAATTTCACGAGTGGCACCAAGATGAGAGGATAGTGACTCCCTGCACCTTTTAGAAAGTCCCAGGTAATTTAGGGTCCCCTGATGGCACGCAGACTCTCCGAGAGACTCTGTTCCCGCCCAGATGCTCTAAGGGGTGCTCAGTAGCTGTGTCGCCTGTCAGGAGTCAGTGTCTCCACTCCACGCACACATGCCCACATGCCTCAGAGTCCACGTCATGGATCCCAGATCCGTGGCCTGGACCACCCTCCTCCCATCAGCCTCCGCAGAGGGCCGGTGCTGCAGTTGTCTGTTTGGACTTGATCTCTGGGTCTTCAGTCAAAACCACTCTGAAGGCGGATGCTCTGGCCCCAGGTAGAGAGACGAGCCAAGAGAGCGTGTGCGTGTGCGCGAATGGTCGCCAGATGGGTGGTCGCCAGGATGCTCACAGGGATTATCTCAAGCTGGAGCTCAGGCAGCGTTTTCCTCGCAGTTTGTGCTTTATGCACTGATATTTTTAGCAATGAGCTCGAATTGCTTGAAGGCCATTTGTATTGTGGGGATGTCAGAAAAGGTAGTAGCCGCTCTCACCAAATGTCTCTCAAAAATTTTGATGCAAAATTCCTGTGTGGTTGTGTTCCAGGGAAAAGTTCATTTTAGCAAGCAAGTGTGCAGTTGTTTCCCTTGCAGAGTTGTTTGAAATCTGTCATCTCACGTGTCTGTTACCTGCCAAGAAGTACAGCCAAAATGAGGTTCCTTTAGTCTTCCCCGATTTCTCCCTCGTCAAAGAGGGGCCAGGTCTCTCGCTGGGTCGCCCAGGTGCAGTGGCACAGTCACCACTCCCTGCGTCCTGGAACGCCCACCTCAGCCTCCAGAGTAGCTGAGGCGACAGGTGCATGCCGCCACACCTGGCTGGTTTCTCAGTTTTTGTTTGTTAGAGACGGGCTCTGGCCGTGTTGCCCAGGCTGGTCTCGACTCCTGGCCTCAAGCAGTCCTCCCACTTCAGCCTCCCAAAGTGCTGGGGTCACAGCATGCACCACTGAGCCCGGCTCTTTTCACTGCAATTGCCTCGGCTCGTTTTCTGGGTGGCCCCACCATTTGTAAGGCAGGCATACTTACTCTCCCGACAGTACTACTAGGCAGTGTTCTTGTGCACTAGGGCTTCAGCGAGCCAGTCCCCAGCCTAACCCCTGGCAAGGGCCCGTGGGCGAGACTGAGTGCCGGCCGGAGAGAAGCGCAGCGCGGGGCGGTGGGCCGACCCCACGGCCGGGCTGGG